TGTAGATGATCATTTTTATTATTTGGGAAAGAAAACAGTGTTATTAAAATATCTGTTTGATTCAGTATATAGTGTATTATTTCCACTCCCGTAAAGAACACGGCATTCTTATATAAGAATATAAGATATCAAAGGTAAGAGGTGTTGAATCTAAATTTGTTGTTTTTGCGAAATCTAAGCTTTACTAATAAGATTAGTTGTGAAATGAGAATGAGTAAAAGAGAGGGAAAGGTTATTATAGAAAGAAACTTTGTTAGATTTTGAGAATTCGACATTGCATTGAACTAGCAGAAATAGAATATGGGGTTCAAGTTAATGATTTAAGAATTATTAAAATTATTTAAACATAGAATAAATAGTTCAATAATGATGCAAATATGTGAAAACTAATAAAGTAAATATAATATAAAATGTCTCTCTCAGGTAAGAAATGTCTTATATAATTTTAAATTTAATTGCTTTCAATACTTAGATGACTAACAACTTTTTTGATAGTCATCAAATAAACTTCAAGTCTTTAAAAATTGTACAGTTCCTTTCTTTTTTGATAGTCATAAATTAAAAAAAATATTAAATTTTATTTAGAATATAACTAGCTATGATAAATATTTTTTTACCTTGTAGCTTCATGCTCTATTTTTTAACTAATCTTTATAATGAATATTGTGTCACCTCTAGAAACTAAGTTAGAGTGTTCAACCTATTTGCATCGGCCATTGGTGACTACATTCTTCAATTATATGCTTCATTTGGTGTGAAACTTGTTCTTGTTTAGGATTTTTGAAGGAGTTTCGGGTGATCTTCAATTTTTTTTTTTGACAAAATGACACTCACCATTGCTTTTTCTTACTATATTGCCTAGCAAATTTAGGTTTGATTCAGGCCACCTATCGTGTCATTCTTTATAAGACCATCAATAAACTAGAGTTTTGGTAAACAAGTCATTCCTTATAAGGCCATTATTACATGATTCGACACAACTCCTCAAAAGCATTATTTTGTTGCAAATGGATCATAAACTAACTATGTATCAAATTTAAAGTTATGAGGAATGACAGTAGTATCATAAACTAACTATGTTGTGCATTCCTTACAAGGCCGTCATTATTTTGGATCATAAACTAACTATGTATCATTCATTTGCAAGATTAGTGCCATAACCTTCACTTGTGTTTAAACTATCGCTTTTAAACCCTACACATCCCTTTGCTTGTGTTACAATTTTATCTCATTCGACATACATCACAAGTATCTTATACAAGATTTGTATCATACTTACCCCTAAATAAGATGATTATCATCCTAAACTACATCTGCCAACAAAAACATTAATTGATAACTCGTTATTTTGAATTGTATTGATATCTTCTTCGATTGTACTACGAAGAGTAGTACTTGGTTTACTCATTTTGTATTGGTGGAAGTTGTTCAGCTACGCAAGCCTCATGGCTTCTCCTGAATTTATTAGCATAAAAAATATTGTGTCAAATTTAATATTTTTGCTCATTACTTATTATGCATGAGATCAAGATAAGGTCATGACAATCTAGAGTGATCCTCATTCTACTAAATTGACATCTCACAAAGAACAAAAATATTCTAATTAATGTGACTAATAACTAATTAGCCTAAATAGTCTAACAAAATTTTATTGCCCTAATCACTATAGTAATTAGTAATTTTTATTTAGTGTCAACTAATTTCCTAATAATTCTAATAGTCATTGATTGTTAACTAAGCTATGATAAATTTTTATAAGGTTAATTCAATTTTATTGTGTAATTAGGCCTGAATACTTTAAGTTAATTAATCCTTATGAATATATAATAGGATCTTTATTATTGCAAAGATTAATACATTAGTTAAATATTAACAATCCTATTTAGTCCAATTATACACTAGTTGGCACAATTAGTGCTATTGAATAATTATAAAATTAGTTAGTCTAATTAAAGTTTGAAAGCTGTGATCTCTATGCAGTTAATTTTTATTTTTGTTTGATAAATTTTTAATTATTCTAGTAGTTATTATTCCCTAATTAAATTCTAATAAATCTTAATGAGTTTCAATAAACAATAATTAGAAATAATGAACTTTTATCCTAAATAAGTTAGGTCAATGCGGAGAACAAGAATAATGATCGAAATGGACTCTATTTTACCATCCGTATGAAAATGTATATTTCAATTTTCAACCATAATGCTAACGTAGGGGCATATGTTTAGGATTGAAATTGAGCATGCCTTATGTTCATATCTATATCGAAATAATAGTATTTATTGTACATTTTTGGGCAAAAACTTCCCTATTGTTTTTATTGGTAGTGAAAGTGTCATGCTATTAAAATTTATAGGTAAAGTCCTTCACAAATCCAGATGAAGTTGATGAATGGCTATTAGGTAATCCTTTACGTTGCCCCGGTGCTTTGCACTTTGTGGAGAAAAACTCAACGGTTATTAGTTATGGAATTCAGACTAATTCCACTTCTATGCGTAAGAGAGGGAACTTTGAGGATACAACATTCAAATTCCAAATTCCTCTTCAAGTTGCCGCAGAGCGCGAAATTGCAAGAACTTTGCTCGGAGGTAACAATGTTGTTCCCATTGATGCTTGTTCATTTATAGACTTTCATTCTCCATTATTATGAACACAATATATAGACAAATGAAAGTGCTTGAAATGCAATGATGAATATGGATTAGAAATTGTTATTGTATACTATAAATGTTAAGGAATTTTAGTAGGCCAATTAATATATTTATTGAAAATTCTTTTATTATTTTCTTAAAGGAGCAATACTTGTTGGAATTTAGTTCTAGTTGTAGTGTCAAAAGTTTAGATATTCTTTTCTTAGAAATTGCATTCTTAAGAGTTTCTTGTAAATTGTGAGAGAATGCGGGAGTTTTAAGGTTTTCCCATCTTAGAAAATCCTAAGACAATCAAATAAGAATCTTTTATGTGAAAAACTTCACTGGTGAAATATTCATAAGCCTAGAATAGTTGCAAAATAAATGGAATTTTAGTGTTGTTACCAAATGAAAACAATTCAAAATTTGAGCTTTTTTAATGATTTTGGAAAGGCCTATTTCGGTCTTTCTAGTTTTATCTTTTTTGTTTTAATATATGATGCATGGTGGAGATTGAAGTCTGTCATCATAACAAAATTAATCTAACAAACATTGTTGTTACGATAGTGTCTATTCCACCTCCATCAAAGCTAGCACGAGCACTTAGTTGTGGCTAATTTCATGAAGTTTTTGATTACCGAACATAAGATAATACATTCTTAGCAAAATTATGCCCACAAAAATGTGATTCAACTTCTTTTCCCAAGTAGAAATTTTAAAGATGAATAGTTTGTAAATTAGTGTAATGTACAATGCTCAACATCCCTAAGCGTTTCAATGTTTTTAAAGTACTCTACACATTGATAAGTGTTCATTGGTGACAAAGAAGCCCGTCAATGTACCTTGCCAATATGAGCTGATGTAATCTTTTCTGGCTTGTGTTTAATCAAATATAAATTTTTATAATTCCAGTAACTGAATACTTGGGAAGCATCTCATACTAAGGAGCATAATATAAGACCATTGCAAGATGCTTGACAGGCAATGGAAATCAGCCATAATGCAATAATTTGCTCACCCTGTCATATATATATATATATATATATATATATTTCTATGTATTCATTTTAAACTAATTTTGCTCACGCTGTCCTTTATGCATGAGCAGATCCTAATTTTGACTGGGTTGTTGGATTCAAAGAATTTGCTCACCCTGCTACAGAAACATTTTCTATTGTTGGGCAAGCTGGACCAACATTTTTCCTTGCTATTGCCATGTTCGGATTTGTAGTTCAAACAAGTTCATTTGTTACAGAGAAGGAACTTAAGCTTCGTCAGGTAGTGGGACAAACATATCTTGCACCATACGAACCATATTGCTACTAGTTTTTATTAGAAGCATTTACATAGCACAAAATTCTTGTATATTTACATATCTCACACCTTAACCTTTCATATTTACACACATAGCACTCAAATCTTTAATATCACATGAAAATTAATACTATTATCACCTTTTAAAAGTGAAATCCGCTTTTTCATGCATAGTTCCAAAACACAAAAGGGCTATGTATGTTGATATGAATGTTTAGGTGTGAGATATGTAAATACATAAGAATTGTGTGCCACCACATATGTAAATTTTCCTTTTTATTATTCTATATGTGAACCTGAGATTTCTAGCTGACGAGGAACTCTGGTTGAACATTTCAGGCTATGTCCATCATGGGTCTCTATGAATCTGCCTATTGGCTGTCTTGGTTTACCTGGGAAGCTTTCCTTACGCTAATTTCTTCTCTTCTCACGGTTCTGTTTGGGATGTTTTTTCGGTTCAGTTTTTTCCTGCACAACAGTTTTGCAGTCCTCTTCCTTGTATTCTTCCTTTTCCAACTTAATATGGTAATCATCACTTAACGCTATCCAAATTTGTTATCACAATGCAAAACATATTTGAACATTACGGTCTTCTGTTTGTCAACTTTTTTTCTCAAGGGAAATTTACGTACATACAGCACAATTCTTTTGTATTTACATATTTAACTCCCAAAGTTTAATACTTATTATAACACCGTTGTTTCATAAACCTACACATTAAAAGGTGTATTTCACTTTTTAAGAGATGGTGATGATGGTGTTTTTGACGTGATGTTAAAGATTTTAGTGGTATGCATGTAAATATGAATGTTTGGGTGTTAGATATGTAAATACGTAAGAAGTGTATAGTATGTATGTAAATGCCTCTTTTCTTAATCACGAAGGAGTTGGTCCACTATATTGCTCTTGTTTTCCATGGTATTGTACTAAAGAATTGAGTCCTTTAATTGGCTTTCTTCACAGTTGAGTTTCGCATTCTTGATATCAAATTTTGTCAACAAGTCATCATCAGCAACTACAGTTGGATTTTCAATATTCATAGTTGGTTTTTTGACACAAGTAAGATTCTCAAACAATTATTTTAAATTTTAAAATGGTAAAGTGCCAAAATAGTCCCTTGACTATATAGATGGAGTTATTTTAGTTACGGAGTTTATAAAAGTGTTAAATTGGTCTCCAAATTATTTTAATTGGGGCTAAAATAGTCCTAATTGGGGACTATTTCAACTCCCATTAAAATTATAAATGGACTAAATCGACACAAATATAAACTCTGGGACTTTACAAAGAGTCAGGGGACTATTTTGACACATTTCTCAATTTTAAAATGCCTCTACAGGGATTCAAAACATGTAATTTCTTTTATCCTTGCAGCTTATAACTGCAATTGGTTTTCCATACGCGAAGTTTTATTCCACATCACATCGTGTCTTGTGGTCTTTATTTCCTCCCAATCTTCTAGCAAAAGCACTCGATATGCTTGATAGCTCAACAGCTACTCATGAAGATTTAGGAATTAGTTGGAGCCGGCGAGGTTATTGTACTTTTAAGGAGCCTGAGTGCATAATAACAATTGTATGTTCATGACCAGATTTAGAGATAATTACATCGTAAACCTTCCTTCAGGTCTGAGCTGATATGTTTCTTTGTACAGGAAAATATTTTTCATTGGCTTATTTCCACCTTCTTTTTGTGGTTTGCCTTGGCAATATACTTGGATAATATACTTCCCAATTCAAATGGTGTGAGAAAATCAGTATTTTACTTTCTGAAGCGTTCATACTGGACTGGAAAAGGTGGAACTAAGGCTGAAGGTTCGTTGGCAATCCTATTGTATAATTTATAGGGAAATTTACGGGCATACCGTACAATTCTTATGTATGTACATATTTACCACCCAAAGTTTTATATTTACACTTATAGCACATTGATGTCATAAATCTATGGCATGAAAAAGGTGTATTTAACTTTTAAATGGATAGTGATAGTGGTTATTTTAGTCCTCGTTAAAAGAGTTTGACGATTAAATTGACACTTTTGTGGACTCGAGGACTGAAATTACCCCCTTTGTCAAGGGACCATTTTGAAACTCCTCTCCTTTTTTATTTGAGTGGCATGCAAGGAAATATGAATATTCAGTTATAATATATGTAAATACACAAGATTTGTTTGGCATATATGTAAATGCCCCAATTTATAACCAACTAGTTTGTGACAATCATTTACTTTATGCATATTTTTGCAGAAGGCGATCTTTGTGGCTGTTGGAGCTCTATTCCACCTACAGAATATGTTGCTCCAGATGATGAGGACGTTCTTGCAGAAGAAACAACAGTAAAACAGCAAGTAACGTCTAGTATAATTGATCCGAATGTAGCCGTCAGGATACTTGGGCTCACAAAGACATACCCGGGAGCTACAAATTTTGGTTGTTGTAAATGCACGAGGTCTTCTCCTTATCACGCTGTTAAGGTATCGTAAATTTTGCGTGCTTGTATAATTTCTAATGTATATTTTCATCACTGGCTTTTTCTTTGCAGGGTATTTGGGTGAATATAGCAAAAGATCAACTATTTTGCCTTCTAGGGCCCAATGGAGCCGGAAAAACTACAGTTATTAATTGTCTGACTGGTATTACTCCAGTCACTGGTGGAGATGGTACAAGACTTATAATTTCTATATTTACATGCATACCACACAATTCTTATGTATTTACATAACTAACACCTAAACTTTCGTATTTTCATTTATAACACTCAAAGCTTTAACCTCATATAAAAAAAATACTACCATTATCAGCTTTTTAAAAGTGAATACACCTTTTCATGCATAGGTATACGACACCAAAGTGTTATAAATGTATATATCAGACTTTAGGTGTTAGATATGTAAATACTTAAGAATTATGTGGTATGTCCCCCCCACGCTACCACAAATAAAAAGCTATATAAATGATCATTACATCTTGCAGCTTTTATTTATGGAAATTCAATTCGAAGTGTTGCTGGTATGTCAAATATCCGAAGAATGATTGGTGTTTGTCCCCAGGTGCATCCATCTTTTAATTCATGACTGTTATTTTGACTCTATTCACAAGTTTCAGAAAACTAAGTCGTTAATGTGCAATTTTCCTTTTATCAGTTTGACATTTTGTGGGATGCATTGACAGCAGAAGAGCATCTTCATCTGTTTGCTAGCATTAAAGGTTTACATCCTTCAATAATCAAATCGGTGGGTGATTTATGGCTGACTCATTTGTATGAGAATATTCTAGAAATTTGAATCGAAGTTTAATCATGCAAGTTGGAAGGCACTCTTTTGATAATTTACCATGTTTTATTTCTACATCTAATAGTTTAATGTAAAAACATTGCAATAGTTTATCCTTTTTTATCGATTGAGCGCTTGGCAAAAATGCAGGTAAGTGAGAAGTCTTTGGCTGAAGTCAAACTTACTAGTGCCTCTCATATAAGATCAGGAAGCTATAGTGGAGGAATGAAGCGCCGGCTTAGCTTTGCGATAGCCCTGATTGGAGATCCACAAATGGTTTTCCTAGATGAGCCGGTAAGAAATTGCAGCGTTTGTCTAACCTCACAAAAATATATTAGTTGAACTTTCTTTTGCGTGATGAGAGCATTTTATTTTCGAACAAATGAAATATTTAAATTTTAATGTTTTGTTTTCTATAAGAAAATTAGGTCATAATATCGCAACCAAAATTTTGTCAAACTGGATTCCAAAGCCATTGGACTTGCATTGAGATGCGCGCAATATAAGTTCAATTAGTTATTCATCTATTGCACCAATCCCATTGCTAATCAAATAACTTTTAAATTCATTAAGATTGGAATTTTTTCCCTTTAATTTCAGCATTTTAAATTCAGCTTGTTCTCATTTATAGTTCTCTGCCATCTCATTTCTTCCCATGTTATAGATACTTCTAATCCAGTGTTGGACATGCCTATCGCGTGCTCAATTTAAATAATAAAAAAAAAATCAGACATGCATTCCCTCAAAATTTAAATTTAACAAACAATAACAAATTTTATAATAAAATATTAGTCTTTGATGATGATCACAACTTCGCCCGAAAATTTTATTCCTACATAGGATGTTGAGACAACGAGGTTGAAGTCGTTGAGCAGAGACCGGCCAAAAATAATGTTTTAAGTTGGCGGTGAGTTAACCACCAAAAAATCCTCTAGATAGGTGAAATGCTTCTCCTTACATGGCTGCCATTGTGATTATTCCCAAGGTTTTCTTCCTTTCGCCTGAGAAGCCATTAAGTGGTCTGGTTGATGCAATTAGTTGGTCGCCCTTGAGTCCCATCTTGTCGAACACATCTTGTCGAACACTGATCTGAACAAAATGTTCACGGAGTTGCCAGAGTAGATTAAGATGCTACCGATTTGGTAGTTGTTGATCAAAGCAGTGATGACGATAACATCGTTGTAAGGGTTCCCCTTAGGGGATAGGTTTGTGTAAGTGATTATGATGGGCGGATGAGTGTCGCGCTTTGGAGCAAAAGCAATATGACACATTTCTCCTAACCAGAGCCTTTTCTAGCTGGTTCTCCGGGAGGAATCTCAGCCGTCTCCGATGATGTCTAGTACTATCACAACAATATGAATGACATAATAAAAAAATATTCACCAAAATTTCTTCGACTAGAGCCTTCCCTTGCCTCTAGGTCGTCGCTCATGATGCTACAAACTTCTTTAGTTCTTCAGTTTTAATCAGTTCATCGACCAAGTTTCGGCATTACTACGTGTCATGGTCATGGTCTCTTTGATAAGCATAATACTTCGTGGTATCTCGGAGAAAAGCTCTGATTCTCATAGGCGATGTCTTTTTGAAATCCTCCTTGTTTTGGATGGCTACCACTAGCTTGGCCATCAAGACTCTAAGTGGAGTTATCTTCTGAGTCTCGTGATCATTTAGCGATTGCTCATTGTGAGAAATCAGTCATTGTTTAGGTTATAGAGCTTGACCCCCTCGATTGTAACTTCTATCAACCCTCCTATTGCCTGGGCCTTGTCTTTGTATTGCTGCAGAACAAAAGGATGTAAGTTTTCCCTTAGTCTTCATCTATCATCTCTAGGGACTATCTTCTGTAAACTACAAGTGCCTGACTCCGCTCTGGTAAAAGTAGGGGTGGAATTGTACTCTTCGGCCGAGATATAATTGTTGGCCAACTCCAACAATTTGGCCAAGGTTTTGGGTCGTTGGAGACCCAACGTGTAACTGAATGGTTCCTCCTTCAACCGCAGAGCTAGAGTTGTGTATGCTACTGCATGTTTTAGATGTCACACCTTTAGCATCTCCTTTTGGAATCAAGTAACAAATGAGTAGAGGCTCTCGTTTTGTCCCTGCATGATCTGCAAAAGGGCTTGTGAACTTTTCTGCGGCTTTGGGTGTTGTGAAATGTTACAAAAATCCTTTTGAAATCTATAAAGAAAATAATTTCTCCAGCTAGCAGTCTGTTGAACCACCTAAGGGCCGATTCCCTCAGCGTGGTACAAAAAAATCAACACTTGAACGCATATGTGATCTTCAACAAACAAACAATCGTCTTGAAGGATGCTATGGGATCAGTCAGATCAATCCGACCCTTATTGAATTCCAGTGATTGTATCTTAAATCTCTCCAAGGGCTCAGCTTCAAAAATATGCTTAGAGAATTGGTTCTATAGTTGGTGGGGTCTTTGGTTCACCTGAATTGTTGCCTGTCCATCAGTGTCGATCCAATACTGTCTTGGTGCTAAGAGTATCTAACCCATTCTGGGCCCTGAATCACCCTTCAGGCGTTGGGCACTGGTTCTTCTTCTCGAAGTTGTTTATGCTCTCGGAGATTTTGCTGCCTTCCACGAGTTGCTATTTCTCTGAGGGCTTCCATCATTTGGTCTTTTAGCTCCTTGATTTGCTGCTACACAAATTCTCTAGTGCATTCTATGTTGGCGGTGTCTCTATTGTGGACTTCTTCTTGTTGCTAACATAATTCATGTTTATCGCATCTTTTAGGATGTTGAATTTTGATTTGTCTGTGAATCAATCCCAAGGAATAATGCTAACCTCACAAAAATATATTAGTTGAACTTTCTTTTGATTATGTGCCAGTTCAAATTTTGCGTGATGAGAGCATTTTATTTTCGAACTAATGAAATATTTAAATTTTAATGTTTTGTTTTCTATAAGAAAATTAGGTCATAATATCGCAACCAAAATTTTGTCAAACTGGATTCCAAAGCCATTAGACTTGCATTGAGATGCGCGCAATATAAGTTCAATTAGTTATTCATCTATTGCACCAATCCCATTGCTAATCAAATAACTTTTAAATTCATTAAGATTGGAATTTTTTCCCTTTAATTTCAGCATTTTAAATTCAGCTTGTTCTCATTTATAGTTCTCTGCCATCTCATTTCTTCCCATGTTATAGATACTTCTAATCCAGTGTTGGACATGCCTATCGCGTGCTCAATTTAAATAATAAAAAAAAAATCAGACATGCATTCCCTCAAAATTTAAATTTAACAAACAATAACAAATTTTATAGTAAAATATTAGTTTTTCATGATGATCACAACTTCGCCCGGAAATTTTATTCCTACATAGGATGTTGAGACAACGACTTTGAAGTTGTTGAGCAGAGACCGGCCAAAAATAATGTTTTAAGTTGGCGGTGAGTTAACCACCAAAAAATCCTCTAGATAGGTGAAATGCTTCTCCTTACATGGCTGCCATTGTGATTATTCCCAAGGTTTTCTTCCTTTCGCCTGAGAAGCCATTAAGTGGTCTGGTTGATGCAATTAGTTGGTCGCCCTTGAGTCCCATCTTTGTCGAACACATCTTTTCTAACACTGATCTGAACAAAATGTTCACGGAGTTGCCAGAGTTGATCAAGATGCTACCAATTTGATAGTTGTTGATCAAAGCAGTAAAGACGATCGCATCGTTGTAAAGGTTCCCCTTAGGGGATAGGTTTGTGTCAGTGATTATGATGGGTGGATGAGTGCCCCGCTTTGGAGCAAAAGCAATATGACACATTTCTCCCAAGGTTTTCTTCCTTTCGCCTGAGAAGCCATTAAGTGGTCTGGTTGATGCAATTAGTTGGTCGCCCTTGAGTCCCATCTTTGTCGAACACATCTTTTCTAACACTGATCTGAACAAAATGTTCACGGAGTTGCCAGAGTTGATCAAGATGCTACCAATTTGATAGTTGTTGATCAAAGCAGTAAAGACGATCGCATCGTTGTAAAGGTTCCCCTTAGGGGATAGGTTTGTGTCAGTGATTATGATGGGTGGATGAGTGCCCCGCTTTGGAGCAAAAGCAATATGACACATTTCTCCCAAGGTTTTCTTCCTTTCGCCTGAGAAGCCATTAAGTGGTCTGGTTGATGCAATTAGTTGGTCGCCCTTGAGTCCCATCTTTGTCGAACACATCTTTTCTAACACTGATCTGAACAAAATGTTCACGGAGTTGCCAGAGTTGATCAAGATGCTACCAATTTGATAGTTGTTGATCAAAGCAGTAAAGACGATCGCATCGTTGTAAAGGTTCCCCTTAGGGGATAGGTTTGTGTCAGTGATTATGATGGGTGGATGAGTGCCCCGCTTTGGAGCAAAAGCAATATGACACATTTCTCCTAACCAGAGCCTTTTCTAGCTGGCTCTCCAGGAGGAATCTCCGTCGTCTCCGATGATGTCTAGTACTATCCCAACAATATGAATGACATAATAAAAAAATATTCACTAAAATTTCTTCGACTAGAGCCTTCCCTTGCCTCTAGGTTGTCGCTCATGATGCTAAAAACTTCTTTAGTTCTTCAGTTTTAATCAGTTCATCGACCAAGTTTCGACATTCCTACGTGTCATGGTCATGGTCTCTTTGATAAGCATAATACTTCGTGTTATCTCGGAGAAAAGCTCTGATTCTCATAGGCGATGTCTTTTTGAAATCCTCCTTGTTTTGGATGGCTACCACTAGCTTGGCCATCGAGACTCTTAGTGGAGTTGCCTTCTGAGTCTCTAAGAGTCTCATGATCATTTAGCGATTGTTCATTGTGAAAAGTCGGTCATTGTTTAGGTTGTAGAGCTTGACCCCCTCGATTGTAACTCCTATCGACCCTCCTATTGCCTGGGCCTTGTCTTTGTATTGCTGCCGAACAGAAGGATGTAAGTCTTCCCTTAGTTTTCATTTATCATCTCTAGGGACTATCTTCTGTAAACTACAAGTGGCTGACTCCGCTCTGGTAAAAGTAGGGGTGGAATTGTACTCTTCGGCTGAGATATGATTGTTGGTCAACTCCAATAATTTGGCTAAGGTTTTGGGTTGTTGGAGACCCAAAGTGTAACTGAATGGTTCCTCCTTCAATCGCAGAGCTAGAGTTGTGTATGCTACTGCATGTTTTAGATGTCGCACCTTTAGCATCTTCTTTTGGAATCAAGTAACAAACGAGTAGAGGCTCTCGTTTTGTCCCTGCATGATCTGCAAAAGGGCTTGTAAACTTTTTTGCGGCTTTGGGCGTTGTGAAATGTTACAAAAATCCTTTTGAAATCTATAAAGAAAATAATTTCTCCAGCTAGCAGTCTGTTGAACCACCTAAGGGCCGATTCCCTCAGCGTGGTACAAAAAAATCAACACTTGAACGCATATGTGATCTGCAACAAACAAACAATCGTCTTGAAGGATGCTATGGGATCAGTTAGATCAATCCGACCCTTATTGCATTCCAGTGATTGTATCTTAAATCTCTCCAAGGGCTCAGCTTCAAAAATATGCTTAGAGAATTGGTTCTATAGTTGGTGGGGTCTTTGGTTCACCTGAATTGTTGCCTGTCCATCAGTGTCGATCCAATACTGTCTTGGTGCTAAGAGTATCTAACCCATTCTGGGCCCTGAATCACCCTTCAGACGTTGGGCGCCGGTTCTTCTTCTCGAAGTTTATGCTCTCGAAGATTTTGCTCCCTTCCATCTGCCTTCCACGAGTTGCTATTTCTCTGAGGGCTTCCATCATTTGGTCTTTTAGCTCCTTGATTTGCTGCTACACAAATTCTCTAGTGCATTCTATGTTGGCGGTGTCTCTATTGTGGACTTCTTCTTGTTGTGCTACTCCTTTTCTTGTTGCTAACATAATTTATGCTTATCGCATCTTTTAGGATGTTGAATTTTGATATGTTTGTGAATCAATCCCAAGGAATAAAGCGAATAATGCTTAAGACGTGAGAGAGAGAAAGAACAAGAGATAGAGAAAAGCGCAGTAATGAACATTACTTTGAAAGAAGTGTGTAACTGTTTATTTATGACATGATCTTCTATTTATAGGGAAGAGGGTACAACATATGAAGTTACAATTATGCTCTTGTTTTAATGGGGGTTGTACAGGTTATTATTGGTATTTTATATATTTGAGTCTTTGGTTTGGCCCTCCTATGGCTCGGTTGGTTCTTCATGACATGTGTTGTATTGGGTTATTGGTCAACCTTCATTGTTCTTCGAGTTGGTCTAACTTGATTGGGTTAGCCTTATTATTTTCGTTGTCCACCACCAATCCCAATTCCCAGGATATGAAACTTCTGTGGGTGAAATAAAATTAGGCTATCAGGTAGAGAGTAAATTATCATAGTCTTATAGGTAGCTTACTTCTCGACAAGTGAGATTCTTCGGGATGTTTTGTTGGTGTGTTGTGGCCAGTTCTTGACAAAGAACTGTGGGGTCGTCTGTGAGGTGGCTTCTGTTATTGAATTCTTTTTTAGAGTCGGATTATGACAACAAATAAATTGATGTTTCCACTCGTTTTGATACTTTTGATCTTTGGCTCGGATGGCCTTTGCTCGGCCGGTCTTCGAACCCGGCTAAAAAACTGAGCTTTGTCTTCTGATATTGGACTGTTAGTCTTCTGCTGAGGGACCTTTGACCTTCTGCCCGCAGGCCTTCGGTCTACTGCTCATTGGTCCTATTACTCTGTGCTCCTTTGTAAATTTTGTCCATTGGATTCCTTGAGATTCATGCAGTCGTTTATTTGATGTACAACAATGAACTTGACCTTATATGTGGTTTGAACATCATTTTGAATTTATTTATTTCTTGATTTTTTCTTTAAAAATTAAATTGAGATGTATACTTGTTTGTTCTCGATCTTGTAGAGATTTTAATGACCCTTACAATGGTATTTATAAAGTTAAATTTGGGTTAATTTCCTTTAATGGATAAATAATAACTCTTGGAATCATCTCCAAAAATCAATGACCTAGAATAAAATATTTTTAGTTATAAATTTATATTCTTCACCTTATTCGCCTCGGGATTGGGGATTTATGTTTTTGCTGAAATATCCATCTTAGTCTTCTTTGTAAGTCTTGTATTATTTAAGAAACAGCATTTCAATGGTGGTGCTAAAAGACAAGTAAAGATGGAAGTCAAGCAAGTTATTAGAAGATTTACATACATACCACACAATTCCTATATTACATATCTAATACCTCAACATCAATATTTATGTTAATAAAACTTTATCTATGCATGAAAAAAGTGTATTTCACTTTTAAAAAGTTAGTAATAATGATATCTTTGATGTGATATGAAAGATTTGATGGTATAAATGTAAAATTTAAAGTTTAGGTGTTAGATGTGTAAATACATAGGAATTGGTTGGTATGTAAGTAAATGCCTCAATTTTTTTCTGGTTTAGTGCAAGAAACTTGAAACCTTCATTGCCATGAAGATCATTGTAACTTTGTAGTCATGCACATATTTCTTGATCAATAATTGCAGGCTTTTATGATCCTGCAATCTTTTGTTGTGAAAACATATTGATTCTTATAAGATTATATGAACTGCAAAAATTTATATGCTCATATTCTGCTGATGCTCTTTTATGTTTCTTATGGAAAATTTACATGCATACCACTCAATTCTTTTGTATTTACATATCTAACACCTACTCAATCTTAATTTTCATACATGCCACTTTATCCATGTATGTGTATTTCACTTTTGAAAGTTTAAAATAGTGCTATTTTTATGTGATATGAAAGATATGGGTGATATAGATGTAGTAATTAAAGTTTTGTGTTAGATACGTTAATACATAAGAATTGTGCGGCATGTATGTAAACGCCCCTTTTCTTATTTCTTTGTGCTTGTATATCTAACTCAAAATTCTATTTGTTTTAGACTACTGGGATGGATCCAATCAGCAGAAGACATGTTTGGGACATTATCGAAAATGCGAAGAAGGGACGAGCTATAGTCTTGACAACTCACTCCATGGAGGAAGCCGACATATTAAGCGATCGCATTGCCATCATGGCGAAGGGAAGATTGAGGTGTTTAGGAACCTCTATAAGGTTGAAGTCGAAATTCGGAACGGGTTATATTGCTAATATTAGTTTTGTTGGAGGTGTTCCCGGACAAACAACTCCTGTTGACGCAGAACTGGATGCTACCCATGAGCGTAAAGCTCAGCTAGTGAAGCATTTCTTCAAACATGTAAGTCGCAATATAAGCGAAGCTAATGAGAAATTATCGCCATGCAAATCTCTGATATAAATTTGCAATTTACAGCATCTAGATGTGGAGGCAAAAGATGAAAATAAGTCGTTTTTAACATTCGTCATTCCCCGCGAAAAAGAGAAGTTATTACCGGTACGTTGAATGTACTTTGGAGGCATTTACATATATACCACCCATATCTCATGCGTTTATATTTCCAACACGTAAACTTTTTTATATTTTTTACATTTATACCACCCAAATTTTTTGTAGGTGCATTTACATACGTAAGCTCACATTCTAATGTATTTACATATCTCACATCTAAACTTTCATATTTACACACATACCCCTCAAATCCTTAAAATATCACATAAAAAATAGTACTGTCATCACTTTTTAAAAGCACCAGGTGCTATGAATGTAAATATGATACTTCAGCTGTGAGATATGTAAATTCATAAAAATTGTGTGGTAGATACGCAAGTTTCCCTTTTTTTTCTATATCACAAGAAAATACTCCTAGTAGACATGCCTGGTAAAGCGGCATCTATGTAAAAAATGAAGATTAGGTGTTGGAAATGTAAGTAAATGCATAGGAATTAAGTGGTATATATGTAAATCATCCCCTATGGAAAGAGAGAAATATTTTTTTTTACATATATTTCTTGATCAGGACTTCTTTGCTGAGCTTGAAGATAGAGAGGATGAACTTGGAATCTCAGACATTCAACTTGGTCTTACAACGCTCGAAGAGGTTTTCCTGAGCATTGCGAAGCAGGCAGAGCTAGAAAGTGCGTCCATCGATGGGGCCATGGTGACGCTAAATTTATCATCCGGACCTTCAATTCAGGTATTCTACTGGCATTAATAAGGGGAATTTTATGTATTTACATATCTAACACCTACAATTCTATTTAGTTGTTAGATATGTAAATACCTAAGAATTGTGTGGTATGTATGCAAATGCCCCTATTAATAAGGATAAAACAGAGAATACATGATGAGGTTAGTGGAGAACTATACTCTTATTAACATCTACTCTCCTAAATAGAAGGAATTTGGGGCAATAGCATAATCTTGTTTAGTTGACTCTTTCAAGTAAATGATAAAACCACACTTGGTTTAGTTTAAGGTCAATTTCACATGACAATCAAAATAAGTTTTTTTTCCTAGATAAGTTCTTACTATTTGTGCGTTTAAGCTCATCTAAAAATGGTCCCCTAACTCTTTCCAGGTTATCATTTTAATCCCGACATTTATGAAAACACCAATTTAGTTTTCAGTCTTTTTTAATACGACTAAAATTATATGAATATTTAAACGCACATTAAAAAAAAGTTTGAAAACTAAGAGTGCATTGGGGTCGAGGTGCGGTGCCGCACAGCGCTTTTTTGTGTATGGCAAAACTTCGTTTTGCTTGTTTTTTGAAAAAAAAAATTACAGCGAAAAACTGTGTTTTGCAATCTGCAATCTGACCTTATTAAGTGTTGTAACTCCTAACAGTTTGACCTTCTTCTGCTATAAATCTTTCTTCGAACAGCTGCAACTGCCACAAACAAACTCTAATTTGACACTCTTATATACTCTATAATCGTCTCATGTAAATAATCAGGGGATTATTTTATGATAAATTGTAACCACAACTTGGAAGGGTTTAAAGTTTGAGATAACTTGTCACATATGATATTCTTATAATCATTTATTTGATGTAAATAGACCTTATAAGTAGATTATTTAAATATTTGTTTGGTATCTCTTTCAGATACCAAAGGGTTCAAGATTTGTGGGGATTCCTGGAACAGAAACAGCAGATAATCCAAGAGGTTTTATGGTGGAAGTCTACTGGGAACAGGATGATTCTGGTAATCTCTGCATCTCAGGCCATTCGCCTGAAATCTCTATACCACCAAATATACAAATTCCAGAAAATAATTCCAAACGTATTAGAAATTCTGCATCAAGGACTGGATTTGTCATTGACCCACATCAAATTCTGAATAAATGATTCTTTTTATTCAAAAAATAAAGGGAAATTTACATACATACCACAATTCTCATCTATTCGCATATCTGACACGCAAAATTTGATATTATTTACACTCAAAAGATATAGTAATTGTGATATTTTTCATATGATGTTTAGGTGAAGTGCTATATGTAAATATAAAAGCTTAGATATGTAAATACATAAGAAGTATGTGGTGTGTATTTAAATGTCCCAAAATTTAACAAATAACTGAATTATGAAGATTGTGCTTTACATTTATTTATTCAGCCCAGCATATGATTGGTTGTATACTGCCATGTAATTGTTATTTATCAACTTTATCTGATATGATGAAGCTCTGTGCAACTTTCAATGTTCGATTATAATGAAAAAATGATATTTTGCTCAAATTATAGTTCAAGAAATATTCGACAGCGTATGCAGAGGTGCATGCGATGTCCGATCTCGACCGTCGATCAGAGCAAATGTGTATTTCGGTGGGTCTCATTTTTAATTTTTTGTTTAAAAGAAAAAATCTATTCGACGGTTGAGATCGGACAGCGCATGCATCTCTGTATGCGTTGTCCGTATGGAATAATTTTTCGTGAATATGCAGTGTTACTCTTGTTAAATGATGAATTTATGTGAATGACTCTGATAGCTGTTTGTTGCAAAAAAAAATAATAATAATAAAAGGATAATTACATCACTTGAAATTTTGCTATTTGCAAAATTAACACTCCATTTTTTAAAAAATTTCACCCAAACAACAAAATTCACAATAAATTCCCATGAAAACATGTATTTATTTAAAAATAGTTAATATGATAATATTTTTGATGTGATTTAAAAGATTTGGGTGATCTAAATGTGTAAAACAAGATTTAGATGGTAAATACGTAAATGCATAGGAATTGGGTGGCACCCGTGCAAGGCTCGTAGAGAAGTTGGTAGAGAATTTTCTCTTCAATCAGGAGACATAAATTTAAAGCATACTCTAATTACTAATCATTAATTTTTAATTTAATTGTCATTAAAATTCAATTTTTTTTAAAAAAAAATTGATATATAATGTAAATGCTTCCTTTAAAAATGAAAACATTCAAATCTGTTAATTATTGGGCATTAGCCAAATATTTACAGCTTAATATAATTTTATATTCTAAGCCAAACAAATTTAGAAGGCGAGAAGTCGTGAGGTGCTCACACTATCGCTGTTTAGGGTTTTATTAAACTATTAGTTCTTAAATAAAGAATTTAAATATCGTCTCCAACGGTCACCCATCCGAAGGCAATCGACCGTTGAAATCGGACGGTCGATAACCTCCTTTCTTCGTGGGTCCCACGTCTTGAACAGACATTACCCGCCGCCAGCTTCCTTGATTGTATTGTTTGGACGCCATGATTTCAAGGAACAAGCTGACTTCCCCGTTTGTTTTGAACAAGGCCTTAAATATTATGCTAAAATAGCTTTAAATTTAAAAAAAAATTAAGATTCATTATAATTAAACTTTATTCAAAATATTTTAACTTAATTTTTTTTCAAAAATTAATACTATAATTTTGAAAACAAATGAGTGTAATTATCTTAATCACTAATAACCAAATACATCTAAAAATCTCCAAATTTTAATTTTAATTTTTTTTCCCATTCAAAACTCTCCCCCTTCTCCTTCAATCTCCCCCATTCCCATCCTCCCACCCCCCAA